ACAGGGTTTCACTATGTAGTCCAGACTGACCTGGAACTCACTATGTAGCCTAGGCTGGTCTCAAACTCACAGTAAACCTCCTGCCTCAGCCTCCCGAGTGCTGGGATTACAGGTGTGTGCCACCATGTCTGGCTGTCTCTAAAATCTTTAAAAAAAATCATTACTCTTCTAATTAGCAGTTCCAACAGGATGTTTTAGATTACATTAGATCACGATTAAGTCAAAGTGGGTGACATTATAAATAAATGATTTCAGAGACACTTAAGTAACTGCTTTAGCTCTAAAATATAAAACCACCAGTTTGTTCTCTTTTTATAACTATTTCATAGCTGAAAAAAGGCACATTTTCAAGCAGTACTCTTACCACCATCCACCAGGCTGGTCTGCTAACCAGAAATGGGTGTCCGAGATACAAGTGAAGAGCAAGGGAAGAGCTGGGCACAAGGCTCTAGCACTACTTTAACTAGTTAAGTACTATATAAAGGAAATGGACAAACTTTTAAAAAATAACCTACTCGGGTTTCTTTTTGTTTGTTTTCCCAGTGCTAGGGATTGAACCCAGGCCCTTCAACATGTTAGGCCAGTTCTCTACCATTTTTGAGACAGAGTCTTGCCTAGACTGGACTTAAAACTTGTGACCTTCCTGCCTTAGCTTCCTGAGCAGCTGGGATTATAGGTGTGCCTGTAAAGGGACTGTAAATTTGAGGCTTGAATGGTCTGAAATAGCAATTTAATACCAGTGAGACCCTGTCTTGAAAAACAATGGCAATTTAAATCCACTGCAAATTATCTAAGTCAGGACAAACAATACTGAGTTTGACTCGTAAGCACACAAAAGCTAATAAATTAAGAGAAGGGAATTGAGTCAACAGGGGATGCACTATTTTATAAAGTACTGTATCTCTCCTCAAACTTTCAATTCCATGCACTGAAGATAAGGAGTTGTGCTCTGTCTTACACACTAGTCGATCATAATATTTACATTCTAATACTAAGATTATTTTAATGGTATTCTCTCTACAATAATTGTTGTACTTGGGGCAAATGATTTTAGTCAATGATTTCTAAACCTAATAAATTAGCATTATGACAATGTCACTACATTTTACTCCAAGACAGTAGCTCTCATTGAAAATACAGAGGTCAATTTTGCCCCTTATGGGTCACTGCGCAATATCTGAAGACATTTTTAGTTATTAAACTTGTGCAAGGGAGGAGTCAAATTATCAAACAAACTAGGTCGAATTTTCTTGCTCAATTTTAATAGTACTTAAGACAAAAAAAGAAATGGCATTTTAAAAGTAACTTTCATTCTGCTTTAAGATGAAAGAATAGCATCTATATCAAAGCCTATTTTTTAAAAAATCTAATGGCAACTCAAGTTGCCTCTTAGTTATTAGCTCCTATAACTGTCTCTGCTTCCTGTCAACATCAAAATGAGATAAATCTCAGCAAGCCACAACTGCACAGAATCAGCTCTGGTTTTTATAACCCTGAATCTCAAATAATAGTATACATTAAAATCATAAATATTTTAACTGGAGAGGAATTTCACTTTTCAATGTAAAAAGCGCACAAAAAGCATGGTTTATTAAATACTGGGATGGCTTAAAGTTCAAAAGTACAGCCTTATTTTCCACTACTTTAGGGATTCAGCCCGTTCTTCGCGAAACCTGTCCTACACAAACGTTTTAGTGAGGAATCAAACGTTGGGAAAACATTATGGGAGATTATTTTAATAGTATGTAAGATTTTTTAAATGCCTAATAACACAGTTACATAAAAATTAAAAGTTACATTTTAAAAAGGCAACCAAACTTTCAGAGCTGATGTCTAACCACCAGGCTTTATTCTTCTTAGAACCAACTCAAAATGTCTTCAGCGTTTCAGAATAACAGCGCACCCATGGGCACGCAGTGTAGCCACTCAAGTGGAGCGGGGCGTTCTTTCACTTAGCTCTGCTTTTGTCTGAACATTCTAGAAAATCATAACGCCTAGGCACATGCCTGTGCTTCGAAACAAGCGCCAGCACCCCCAGACCCCGCCGCAGAGCTCGTGCACCCTATGTGACAAGAGGGCACCAGTTCTCCTGTCTCCGCGCAGCGTCCCGCGCGGTCCCGGGACTCCGGCCACTCCCCGTCACCTCAGTCACCCTGGCCACCTTCGTCATCCCCGGTCACTCCGGCCACCTCGGCCTGCCCTCCCCTCACTCACCAGTCACGCGAATGGACTCCAGCATCGTACCTCCGGGGCCCGGAGGTGGACTCCGTGGGGTCGAGGGCTAGCGCGACGGCCACCCGCCCGAGCCTCTGTGGTGGAGCGCGGGGCTGCTCTCGGCGGCAGGGGCAGACGGAGAAGTGCGGACACCCGGGTGTGAGCGGCGATCCCTCCACCCGCAGGCGCTACAAGAGGCGCTCGTTTGCTCAACCGTGTCGGCCGCGCTTAGCACCTGCCGGCATGACGTCGACGCTGCCCCGTTGCTAGGAAACGCCCCCTGCGTCACGCACGTTGTACGTCACCAAGCCTGCGCGCCGCTGGGGGCGCTTGTGCGTCGGAGCCCGGCTCGCGGGCAGAGACTGTAACTACAATTCCCGGCGTACACAGCGCGGTCAGCGCCCCGCGTTTGTGTGGGACAGCCTGATATCCGCGACCCGAGTGACAGTCCCCAAAAACGTTTGCTGGCGATTCAGGGGGCTTGATTCCGCGATAGCTACACGAGATACGGATACTGTGATACTTAGCCCGGCTGTGCATTGCAAACCTAGTTTCCTCTGCCCTTCAGTTCATGGTGCCGAAAAGCTAAAATGACAACTTGAGAGGGAGCTGTAAGACATTCACTAGGACAAAAACATTTACTAGAGGACAGCATGCCAGCACACTGTTCTTAATACTGAAACATAGGTGTTAATTTGGGATTGTGCATTTGATAGGGTGTGAATGTTACTTCTCGGTTTATTACAGTTCCTTTCTTACCCACAGGGTGGCCTGAAGCATGGTACTGTTTTTTCCTACACATAACACGGATATGATAAAGTTTAACTTACAATTTAAGTTCAGTAAGAGATTGGCAGAAAAAGCTAATAATCATAACGATTTACTGTAATAATATTGCCAACATCGCTACCCTTGCCCGTTGGGGCCAATCATGAATAAAATAAGGGCTACTTGAACATGGCACTGTGATACCAAGACAGTTGATCAGATAACTGGAACAGCGATTATATACAGCCTAGATATGCTGCACAAAGGATTGTTTCATGTTTAGGGGAGGGCACACTCAAGATTTCATCTTGCGACTCAGAGGCCATGCAACTTAAAAACTTTTCGATGGTATTTTTCTCAAATTTTCTGTTTCATATTTTCAGATTGCAGTTACTACGGAAAATGAAATAATGGATGCCTATTTACATTCATTTTCACTTTAAGAAAAGTGAAAATGATCTTTTACAATAGCCAAAATGTAAAAAATGTAACACAATGAACACATTTTAAGGTTAACACATGCAAGTTTCTGAAGGTATTGAGGTCTTGAATTTGGCAGAGAATACGGTCACCGTCAGAAGATAGTGCTGGCACTGTCCCTCTTTAAAGTCACCTTTTTCTCTTTGCCTTGGGGCATTTTTTTGTTGTTCTGTTGTTTGTTTGTTTTGTTGTTTTTGTTGTGCTGGTACTGGAGATTGAATTTGGGACTTTGAGTTTTTGAGGCAGACGGTGGCACCACTGAGCTAAATCCCCTGCCCTGGTGTGTTTTCAAACTCAGGAACAAAATAAAGTTCAATGTCAGGAGTGTGATACACGGAAAGACAATGAAGTTGTGAGAATTGTTTCTTTTTCAGCACTTAGTGTGGGGGAAACATTTTCTTTTTTTGAGACAGGGTCTCCCTATGTAGCTCAGGCTGGCCTCAAACTTGTGTTGTTCCTCCTGCTTCAGCCCCCTAAGTGGGTCACAAGCATGGGTCACCACGCCCAGCTGAGAACTGTCAGGAGTGTGATACACGGAAAGACAATGAAGTTGTGAGAATTGTTTCTTTTTCAGCACTTAGTGTGGGGGAAACATTTTCTTTTTTTGAGACAGGGTCTCCCTATGTAGCTCAGGCTGGCCTCAAACTTGTGTTGTTCCTCCTGCTTCAGCCCCCTAAGTGGGTCACAAGCATGGGTCACCACGCCCAGCTGAGAACAGTGGAAATGTAAGTATCACAAATAGCAGATAACCTCAACTTCTGCGGGGGGGGGGCGAGTGCTCTCTTGAAAATAGAACCCAGTCGCTTGCTACCTTTTTGGTTCAAACCACTCCCTTCTCTTGTCTGGATTACAGATACCCTAAATGACTTCCCCAGGTCCTTCATGACCTAGCCTCCAGTCCTTTCTTTGATTAAATCTACAGTATTCCTCCCCACCTACAGAAGTTTCTCAAATATGATGGGCACTGTTTGACCTCAAGGCCTTTGCAATTTGGGATTCTCCCTGTCTGAGAGGTTCATTCCCAAGTATCCATGGACTAGCTTCTCACTTCCTTCAAAGGACTTAATGAAAATGTCATTCTGTTTAAAACTCCAGCCGTGGATTTAGCTCAGTGGTACCACTGCCTGCCTCACAAACACAAGGTCCCGAGTTTGATCCCTGGTACCAAACAAACAAACAAACAAAAAAATATGTCCAGGCTGGGGATTTAGCTCAGTGGTTTCCCCACCTGCCTTACAAGCACAAGGTCCCAAGTTTGATCCCTGATACTCCCCCAAAAAATTCTGCTACATTTAAAAAGAGAGTGGGCATTCTGTTTAAAATTTCATTCTGCCGGGCGTGGTGGTGCAGGCCTGTAATCCCAGCACTGGGGAGGCTGAGGCAGGAGGACTGCAGCAAGTTTGAGACCAGCCTGGGCTACACAGTGAGTTCCAAAGCAGTCTGAACTACTACCAAAAAAAAAAATAAAATTTCATTCTTTTCTCATATATTCCCTTTCTATGCTCTGTTTAGCACTTATTTCATATTATCTAGTTTATTATATATTTTACTGATTTTATTTTTTTTATTTTTTACTTTTATTTATTTATTTGCTGATGTGGTGGAAACTGAACCCAGGGCCTTCACATTGTTACATTCCTAGCCTTATACATTTTTAAATTTTTATTTTAAGAGAGGGCGAAAAAAAAGGAGAGAGATGTTACTAAATTGTTTAAGTTGCCCAGATTGGCTGGAATTTGTGATCTCCCTGCCTCAGCCTGCTAGAGTGCTGGGATTAATACCCTTTTGTTGTTGTTGTTGTTCTTTTTGCAGGGCTGGGATTGAACCCATGACTTTACACTTGGTAGGTAAATGCTGTATCAATGAACTACATCCATAGTCCCATTATAATATTCTAAAGGAACAAAGATGTGTATTATTATATTCTTTATTCCATGGGTATTTATTTAGGTTTTTTTGTTTTTTGTTTTGTTTTGTTTTTTTTGAGACAGGGTCTCACTATGTAGTCGAGACTGACCTGGAATTCATTATGTAGCCCAGGCTGGTCTCAAACTTACAGCGATCCTCCTGCCTCAGCCTCCTGAGTGCTGGAATTACAGGTGTATGCCATCACACCTGGCTTATTTAGGGGTGTGTGTGTGTGTGTGTGTGTGTGTGTGTGTGTGTGAGACAGGGTCTCACTACAATTTCAGGCTGGCCTTGAACTCACTATGTAACCCTGGCTGGCCTCAAACCTTTGGGGATCCTCCTGACTCAGTCTTCAGAGTGCTGAGATTATAGGCGTGTGCCACCACGCCTGGCTCCATGGATATTTATATACAAGGCACTGGTTGGTTATATTCAAAGACATGATACCAATCATCAAGGAAGTTAGTGACTAAAATGGAAAATATTATATATTTACATGTAGTAGACATACATATATGTGTCTGTACATATTCACATGTATGGATATACATACATGTCAGGCAATGAAGTGAATTAAAGATGTACTCCTTCTTCAATAGTTCCTTAAGTTTAAAATTCCAAAATAAGCAAATTTTATGCCTCTATAATTAACATACCTAGACAATCATCACATTTGTTACCTTTGTTATTATTTTTATGTTCACCCTATCAACATTTTCTTGAGGGTCATTTTGACTTCTAAATATCTTTACTGGGCCTGGGATTTAGCTCAGTGTTTCCACTGCCTGCCTCGCAAGCGCAAGGACCTGAGTTCGATCCCCAGTACCAAAAAAAACAAAAAAACAAAATAAATATCTTTAGTGACATGCACCTATCAATGCAATCAAATGTACTCTACATGTACATTTTAAAATGTACTCTACATGTATTACTGAAGCACGGAAACTAATGAATTCCTGAGCAGTTTCTCAGTGTCTTAGAAAACAGTTCTGCTACCCACTCCGTGCTTCTCCCAGCCTGGAAACTGCTCACGCTCTTCAGGCAGGAGCATCTGCAGTAATCACCAACCCATGCTGTCCCACCTAGCGTTTCCATGGGACTCAGCATCTGCTACTGTCCTGCTGGCTGGGTTTGAGGCAGCATTGTTTTTCACACAGCATGAGAACAATGAACGACTCCATCTCTCTCAAAAACTTTCATACCTGTTTCTACATAAACCAATAATATCTAGACAAAAGGACTGATTTGATTATCAGTCCCTTTTCCATTTTCAAAACACTGCATGCAAAATCAAGAATTTATTAAAAACGATGGGCAGGCATTGCATTGCAATGGATAGTCCTTGTGACTTTTGGCATGCATCAAAGGAGAATTAAAGAATTCATTAAAATCGCCTTTAATAATTATATTTACCCTTAAGGATGCCTCTTACACTTAAGGATATCTTACTCAAATTTTCAAGCAAATAATGCATCTTAGTTTTCCAAATGAAATATAGTTGTGGTTTTTTTGTTACTAGAAATTGAACTCAGGACCTTGGGCGTGCCAGGCAGGTGTGGCACCACTGAGCCACATGCTGACCCTAGTCACTTTCTTTTTATGGTCATTATAATTTTGTATACTAGCAGCATTATATTGTGGATCATTATGAGTTCTGAATATCTATAATGATAACTTGCAGTCAATTTTAGACTTTAAAATCATAGGAAAATAGGTGCATGGAGAGAAATATAGTATTGTTATTTAGTTTGTAGTAGGATTTCTGTTATAAGCAAAGAGTTTATTTTTCTTATTTTGTCAGTAACTTTTTGTAATAAGGGAAAAGGAAAAAAATGAGAAAATGAAAAAATGGGAATAAAGTATTTGTAAATAGGGAAGGGAGGAGGGGGTGAAGGAAGGGCAGGGATAAGGGGAAAAAATGAGAACTAAGACCTGTCATGTAAAGGTGCAAGATCCCAATGATGAATATAACTATACTGTATACCTAAAATGTACCAATAAACTCAATGAGAAAAAAAACCCTACTGATATGAATCTATATGTTCCTTTTACATGCTACATAGCAGAACAGATGGTATGCGTTGTTGGCAAACATTTAGTTTATTTATTATTTGTAAATTAGTTGATAAGAATTTTGGTATAAAAATGATGATTAGGGCTAGGGGTAAAAAAGCCAGTTGGGCTGGGGATTTAGCTCAGTGGTTCCAGCGTCAGCCTCACAAGCTCAAGGACCGGAGTTCAATCCCCAGTATCCCACCCAAAAAAAAGCCAGTTAGCTTAGTTGTAGAACATTCACCTAGCATATGTAAGGCTCTAGGTTCAATCCTTAGCATTGCAGAATCAATCAATCAAAATTTCTAAAGTTGATTAAACTGTCTTTGCAATAAGACAGCATTATTTCCTTTTACAGGAAAATATCACCATGTCCATTTTAAAGATTCAGAAGAGATTTGATCATTTACTGCGCTTGCGTGGAGGGTAGTAAAGGCCAGGAGAGAAGGAAGAGATGAAGACAAGGTGCTTGATTGTAGTGCTACTGCAGAGACAAGTGGACTTTCTAAGGCACATGTTGGGAGTAGAATGAGTATGCATTAGGCTGGGAACTGAACAAAAGCCTTTAATTTTTTTATGGAAAGGTCTTTTAATAACTAAAAGTGAATTAGAACATTGAAATGGTATTTATTTACTTTTAAGTTTCAGATGAGAGTTTAACAGAAGGGAGGGAAGAAGCTTCCAGTAATCACTTTTGACTTTTCTGCCTGTCCTACCGAAAGCAAGTTAGAATCTTCCTGTTGTTGAAAATATATGAATTGAGGAGACTGGATTCGCAGCCTGCTGCTGTGAAAAGACAGGGCAACTGTGGTTACA